TTTATTTTGTGTTTCATTATTTCTAATAAAATATAATTATGACTTATTTTATTCTTAATTTATATAATGAATCAAATTTTAAATTGCTTTTAGCAGATTAGAAATTCTTGATTAATTATTTCTATATATATATGCTAATTATTTTATACAAATACTAGATGTACTAAATGATAATTTAATCACTAAATTCCTACTTCTTACATTTATAATAAACGACACTAATAACGATAAGTAGATCCTATTTTTTTTTATATTTTATTATTATCATAAATTTTGTATTTTTTTTGTTCCTCTCCATTTCTATGTATTGTCTTTGCTGGCGTTGTTTTTATTTTTACCTTTCGTCGGACAAGCATTCTGTGCAAACAGATCATGTAGTAAGAGTTACAAAAGTCATCCAATAAAATATCAATGTATGCCAAAGCCAGCTAAAAAATCCCAAAATAGGTAGAAGGGGGAGATAATATGTCGTTGCTTCAAGGTAAATTGTATAAATGTTAATGACCGATATAAGGCCCGGACGATGACATCATTTTATACGGCTCCTCAACAGCTGATGCAGTTATACATGAGAGAATAAGATAGCAACTTGTATCAAATCGTGATTATGCTTAGATATTTTTTATGCATAGCTTGTATAATTTTTGAAAATGATCACACTTTCACGATGACTCATTGATTAATATTATCATCGCTTACATATGTCTGATATTAATTTTTGTTTTGTTTAATAATTGTTATTCATATAAAAAAAAAGTTTCCTGATGTATTCAAAGTAGTAGTAGATGTTTCAAAATACTTTCATCGACATTGAAAATTATATTTTGGGTATACTTATTTAATGTCACTAATAATAGTTTACAAAGAATAATAAATTAGTTAATGTTAAAGTAAATATAGTATTCGTACGAGTGTAATCTTTTATTTTTTTTATTCGTATTATGATAATGACTTGTATAAATAAAAATATATTTGTCTTCCATCAAAAATTTTATTGATTAAACCATACTAATAATTTATACTCTCAATATTTATTGTTAAAGTTCAAGTAAAAGTTTAAATCAAGATAGTACCGATGATAATTATAATTGAAACTTTAACTGCATATACGTTCTATACGCACTAATTCTCTTATCTTAGAAATTGCTTTAACCAAGAAAGTATTCAATATTTTCATTGACGCAAATAAGATAAATAATAATTATTATCTTATAATTATAATACAATGTATATTCTTGATAAATAGTTACGTTTGCTAAAATATAGTCAATTCAATGTAGGTAAGCATAACACATTTTTGTTTTACAATAAAAATATCAGTAGGACAATAAATTATTCTCAAATTGAATTTTTATATTTTCATACCAACTTTGAGGAAAATTGTTAAATTTAATCTCAAAGTTTATTCTATATTAGTTAAGTATCTCTCTATATTACGACGTACTTTATAAAATATAGCTACTAAACAATTGAAGAATAATGAGATGATCAAATTTATGGGTTTCATAATTAACAGCGAGTATTATTGCATTTAGCATCTACAATTGTACACTATTATAAAGTATCGACGAGGTATCGGTAAATGTTTATTATATGAAAATTTCATTTTGTTGATGCAATAATAATACAAGCTGACTTATGGCTGTTTGCAAAGAGGCATAAGTTGCCCAGTCTGCTGAATAAATCTAGCCTTGGAAAAAGTGCGCATGTGCTTGAATGTTTAATTATGGATGGTAATTAACTGATTATTGTAAAGTGCTCGGTGGTCGACACCTGTATATTTAAGTTTAGCTTGCAATACGAGTATGGACCGCGAGCTCATTAATTTCAAATTAAAACTTGTTAATGCTTTCATTCATACAAAGACACACTTCAAGTATTCATGAGAATTCTAGTCTAATAACAAAAGTCACAAATTTAGTTGATAATGCAATCTCTATATATCATATGGATGTTTTTTTTAATGAAGGGGAGTATTCTTATTGCAGAAATAAAACGGAAAATAGTTTAGTTGTACTTGAAAATCATTTTCTATAAATGCATGAAATATTACTAGCCTCTAACTTTAAAGTTTGATTTTAATGAATATTATTTTTTTTTCTTTTAAAAGAAGTATAAGATTGCCACATAATAATTAAAAATATAAATATATTTATTTGGAATTATAATAAATTTGATTATTCTTCAACTTAATAAAAATACATACATATTTTAATATGTATAAGACTTTTATAAACATCGATAAATGCTTAAATATCTTTTAATTCAAGTAAGTAATTTGTTATTTTAAGAATCTTCTTGTAATATCAATTATCTTACAATAAACTACTTGAAATTCTTTTTAAATTAAGAGAGCGTGTAAACTCTAGTTTTATAGTTGGATTGTTTTACCGATGAAGCAATGAATAAACGATTCTAAAATAAAAAAGTGTATTTTGATTTATATATATATATCACATTCCTCTATCATTTCTATTGAAATAATTATTTGTTTTTAAATTTAAAATTTATTAAATCCAAATTTTGTGGTGGTCAGAAGATAGACATCTATTCTACTACCAAAAAGCGAACAAATTTATATGAAATTTTTGAAATTTTTGGGGTAAACTGTATATTTATTCTTTGACGTAGAAATCAGAAGTATAGTTTTCAATTAAATCGATTTCGCATTAGTCATGTTTAGGTTTGTTAAATTCGAAAAAATTTCTACAAACAAAAAAATGTTTCTGATTTTCTTATTTTTATACTTTTGTTTTATCGAGGCATTCGTGCATTAATATAGCTATTAAATCGTACAATTTTACAAATATATTTTGGTTTTATTAATTTTTTTTCATGTTTTTTTTTCATACTTTTTTTTTTAAGACATAATATATTCATATGATTTTAAGTTAAGAAATTAATAATTTTTTATCATTAGCATTTTTTATATTACTAATATAAATGTATAAATGTATAAATATAAAAATATAAATTACTAATATAAATATAAAAAAACTAAATGCTTAAAAAGATTTATAATCGTATAAAAATATTATTTTATGTTATTTTAAAAAATACTTTACAAAAAGCTCTTAAATTTGATATTTTGAAGAATCTAGCCTTTATGTGTTTGTAAATAAAAGTAGAACAAAGTCGGATGACTGTTGGCATGCATTTAGATGTATATATAGTATATGTATATATTTGGCATGTAAATTTACATTATTTACGTTGAATATTGAATTTTATTCAATTTCATATTGTGCTATTTCTACGTATGCTATCAGAAAGTTTATGTTAAAATTGAATACATTTTTATGTAAAGAAAATTGTAAAGTTTGTAAGCTTCTCTATTCATACTAATTTTACGTATACCTTATATACAATAATGTAAATAATGAATTCGAAAAACTCTAAATAGAAGTTAAGCATCTTTAAATTTAAAAACATTGAAGTATCGTTCTTAACGATTTGATTAAAGAATGACCCCGTAAGGAAAATCAACAAATATTGAAATTACTTGACTTATTTCTCTAAATTTTCTTAAATGATGCCTATATAATACAGGGTTCGTTTGATATATCAGATTCTTTTTTCTTTCAAAGTCAAATTATTTGCAATTAAAGTTAAATTTTCAGTAATGAAACAATGCACAATTGAATTATATGAATTAGTTTTAATAGATTACTAGCTAAGGGTTTTATATAAGAATATAATGCATTGACTTGTGCGCATAAAGGAGTTATCTACGTCTGAGAACACTGACTTGTATTACAAGAGTTGCGTCGTCTCATACAGTTGGTTTATATCTCTAATTTCACACATCTTAAATATGCCATACGCATGTAGTATGTGCCCAAGATGTAGTTATATGCGCTTATGCATTATATGCGCTTTCGAGAGTGAAAGAAAAAAGCCAACACCATATATTCTCTCTTCCGTCGTAGAATCGAGTTAAAGGCCGTATCACTTCCTGCCTTTTTTTATTCTTAAATTTCTCGTTTCGTTCTTCATTGTTTCTTGATTTTTTCTTTTAATATAGAGGACTCGATTTTAATACAGATTTTTGAGACAGATAGGTGTATCATTTTTTAAATAAAAAAATATTTTCATCAAGCCATTATATTTATGTATTTATTAAAATCTTGTTTATGTTTAAAATGCAGAAAGCATAAAAATGTAGCATGTAAAAATTAATTCATTTTCCATTCCATGAAATTAACAAAGTATTGCAAAAAGTATTTGAAATTCTTCTAAAGATAATGATAATCAAATATAACTACAAATTGCGGATCTTAAAGGACATATTTTTTGAAAATATAAACGATTGTTTTATTACATTTGAAACGATTGTTTTCAAACAGCCATTTTAGAATTTGAAAATCGACAGTTTTCAAATGAGTGTGCGCGCGGGCGCGCGTAGATATCCCATGCAATAATTTCAATGAAAAGGAGGAAAAAAATTTATTAAGAATCTAACCGGTGATCTATTTTATACGATATGGCTCAGGATTAAAAATTAAATGTAGCAAATAAAATATAATTACAAACTAAAGCAAGGCAATGAGCACAGATCTTGTTCGATACGTGTAATGTACACAAGGCAAAGTCATAAAGCTACGGATCAACGTAACGCAGGTAAATTATGTTCTAGGCAAAAAGTTATATTCGTCCATAAACAAACGACAAATTCACAGTAATATAAAAAGCAAAATGAATTTTACACCGTGCACAGCTTTCTTTGCAAGCAGTGCTCGACCGAAGTTATAAAATTACCTTATACAAACGCGCAGCCGCCATCTCCTCCTCCCCCCTCCCCCCGCCCTCACGCGAGCGAGCGAGCCTGTGTATATCTTCTCTCTTCCCTCGTCCCGCTCGCTGACCCGGTGCCCAGCGTCACTCTTCTTCTCGTGCTGTTTGCGTCGTTCGGCTCCGCGAGAGGGAGCGAGTGCGAGGGAGGGCACGAGGGATAGAGAGAAGCGCGTTGACGTTAGAACGGAGACAGTCGTGCACGGCTCGCCGAGCCGTTGACATCGGGATTCCGTGTCTGCGTAGGAAGAGAGCGGCGCCCGGGTGTTACAGACGATGGGTCCTCAGCAGCGCATAATCGGCTTCTGAATTGCGCGCGAAAGCGATCAAGGCAAAAGTTGTTGCTGTGTCGGCGCCACGGCGTTATTGTAATCCTGTTGTTGTGCATGTGCGCGAGTGACGTTTGGGGGGCGACCATTGCGTAGAAGCACCCCGAGGTGTCCAGGGTTTCGGAAGACGAGAGACAACCAACCTCGAGGCAGACGACGTCGCGGCGAACTTGTAATGTACGAAACGGCCATGGACGCCTGGATGTATGACGTGGTACGTGTGCGTGTGTATGTGCGTGCATGTTATATCTGCGTGGTTGTGTTTGTTCATTCGTGTATTTATATTTGTGTGGATGAGCGCGCGCGCGCGCTTACGTACGTTCGCGCGTGCGTGTGCGTGGCAGCGAATACACACGTTGTGTACATTCGCGGACAAGGTCGCGCAGCGCCTCGCTTAATCGAATGCTTTCCTCCTTTTTTAGCACGCCTTTTCTAACTTTTCCCTGAGTCTCCCCACAACCCCGTTTTATTATCACGGGCTTGTTTACTGTCGTTTGGGTTTAAGTTGTTGGAAAATGTAAAGATGGAAATTTCTGTTGTTACAAAATAAAGATTCTGCAACTGACATGGAGTTTGCACCAGTTGAGCTCTTTTGATCTTGAATTTAAGCTGTCAATTGATTGAATTTGCCCGAATGTTAAAACTTTTTTCTTTACTAACATAATCTTTATATTATTCAATATTTTATGTATTTCTTTTATTACAAATTATTGTATCGTAAATACATTATTTTTAGAACTAAGATTGAACTCTAAATGTGATTTTAATAATAGAATTTGCTATTACACTTCTACTGCAATTCAATAATTCTAAATTTTGGGATAATTTTTATTTCTATACTGCTTTATATTCATTCTCAAACATTCAAATATGCGACTATTATATGCTGAAATCATGCAAATATTATGTCAGCATGTAGCGAATATTGTAGTAGAATATAATAATACGCGAATATTTCAATAGAATATTAAGAGTAAATGTTCAATAAATGTTCTTCCACTACATATATTCTATTTACTACATAGTCATTCATTTTTAACGTTCATTATTCTATTAGAGATTAGTTTTTTTATTTTTATTTCTATATTTAGTCTGTGTAGAAAGCTTTCATATTATATTTATATTGAGATACATAGTGATCATGCATTTATATCTCCATATCTTAGTGTAAACTATGTATTTTTTAAAATTATTTACTATTGAAATTGATGTAACACATGTAGTTATAAATATAAATCGTTGTGATTATGGAACGAAAAAGATAATTTTTAAATTATATGAAGTAATTTTTTCAGTTAAAAATTAAAAAAATATTTTTGTTTTTATCCAAATCAAATAATAATGTAAGTTTGCAATTCAAGCTTGATTCTTTCGTTTTACGTTTTTTTTATCGCATACATTTAAATTTATCCCGTAAGACAATAATTTTTATGACTGACAAGGTAAAATTCAGAATATTTTACAATATTTTTAATTGCCACTTGATTCTGTTGATGCTATTTTAAATGTGGTCATACTCATTTTTTGATACTCATTTTTAATTCAATATTATTAATATAGATGGGTTAAAATTAATTGCGATCGTTATCACTTTACCCAAATATTTTATTTATATCTTTACTAAACATTTCAAATTATCAGATATTAAAAGTAAGAATGGTGTATCATTCTCTAGGAATAAGTCTAAGATTATTAAACTTCGGTTACACAGAATTGCCTCTTTACTGCTATTTTCCTTTTACGATGATACATCGGAAGAAACGAAATTATTTCGTGCTGAAAACTTTGATAGCTCGACATTGCTGACCTTAATTGAAAAACTCGTCTTGTGCACAATCGCAACCCTCATGCGAATTTTGTTCCGAATGCTTTCATATTTCTCGGGCGAATATTTTAAATTATTTCGCTATACTCATATTCAATAATAAAAAGTATTTGAATTACTAAATTTTTTACACTAGTAATGTTTGTTAAAAAATTAGTGTTTCGTTATTAATTTTATCATTGTGTCCAATAACTGCAAATTTTTAAATTTTATAATTAACAAATTATCATATTGAAAAGATTGGAATTAATGAAGTGCCAATACATTATAAATTTTTCTAATTTATATTTGGATTAAATTTAGTTAACAGGTAAGTGGATTTATTATTTATAAAATATATATTTATCGAGCAAATAGTTATAAAAAAAAGAAGTTGCCATAAAATAAAATTGTTACATTATTTTAAAAGGTTTTCAACGTATAAATGCTTAAATTTTAAATTCTTCAATTTAAATCTCTAAAAATATATGACCGATTCAGCTTTCATAATTTTATAAATTATCAGAAGTAATTTTACCCATACGCAAAATATAAATTTTCATCATTGAAGATACAATTGTATTTAAATTTATCAATTTCAAAGTAGAACAGAAACATAAGCCTTTTTATAGAAACAGAAGGTATTATTTATATAAAAATATAAAATATAAAATTTCAAAAATCTATAAGATCGTTAGTATAGAATATATATACTAAATAATGAATTATTTTTTCATAATTATTAATTTTTTCTACTGAACGAAAATAGTAGTTAAAATGGTTATTCTTTTAGAATTCTCGAGGGAATGTCTGATTTGAAATAGTATGTGCTTAAAAGCGGTAGTTATAAGATCAGAAGGAGGTCGGATGCAAGATGAGGACTGGTAGTCGTGACCATGAAAAAAATGTTTATTTTGATGCCTAAGAGTAACTCACGCGGATTCAGCTTGATACAATATCACATGAGCAATAATATCTCGAATATTTGTCGTTCTCTTTCTTGTCCGTATACTTTAACTCGGATTTCCTAGAAAAATTTGAAAATATAGCGGGCAGGTTAACTAACGTATTGTAATGTTTGCAACCACTCATTCCATAGGCTTTTTTGCTTACATGATTTTTTGAATAACAAAGAGAGTATATAATATTCCAAATAGCCTTTCAGAAGTATTTTTTCGTGTCAAAAGATTCTTTTATTCATTAAGATGGTTCAATAATAATTTCTAGAATTGTTACAATAAAAGATCTTAACATTTTGCGAAACATATATTAAATGCAATTTTTTAAATATTAATTTATATTATTTATTCGAATAAATATAATTTATCTGGAGAATATAATGAAATTTTTCTGAGTATTATTATGTATGTGTAGTGTTTTTTAATGTAATATTTCAATTAATTGTTATTATTTCTTATTATATATATATAATAAAAAGCAATACTTTCAATTTATATTAACATTTAAGCAATGAATTTATAAATCCGTTTAATTGCATTATTAAATTATAAAACAATTGTAATTGTGTTTATATATGTTTGTTAATACACAGTATATATGTTGATGTACATGTTAATATGTCATAAGTGTAGATATCGAAATGTTCTAATATACAGAGGTTTATATATATATATATATAAATATATATATATATATATATATCTATATCTATATATATGACTGATGTATGTCAGTTATAAGATATCATTACATGTAAGAATGAAACTGAATATTACCTAAGTTAGCATAATTAATAAGGAATTTTTACATATGTATGTAATTTAATGCGGTTTCCTAATGCCTGTTAATTTTCTATTTATTCATTGGTTTTTTATTATTGAAACTTACATTATTATTATGCAATAAATAAATTTTTATTTTTATTATATTTCTTTTAGTGACTTTATATACTTCATAGTGGTATTTATAATAATATTGTATTACTATTTTTATGAACATTTTCATAATAATCATAAAAAATTCCAAAAATTGTTTCCATATTTAAAAGTTACTATATTTAAATAAATACATTCCGAATTTTCGAAATAACATAAATGAAAAATGAAAAAAGAGAAACATTTATTTTCGATACTACCAAGAAAAATATTATTTTTCTGTGTGATTGTACAAATATCTGTGCGTGGCTTTAAAAGCTCCGTAATAACAAATGTTATGTTCATAATATAATATACCTACGGAATAAGTATACGGGTCTTATAAAATACATAGGAAAAATTATAATTTCACACAATCGAAACAAGAGATTTATGTCGCATCGATCACGAATGCGCGCTTAGCGACTATAATGGGATTCGCCACTCCCGTCGCTTTCAGTCTACCAGTGCGCCATATTTTAAAGGCGCGGTATGCTGGTCCTTTTTATTTTTTTTTTGTTCTTTTTTTGTTGTTTTTGTTCTTGCACACCCGCGAATAACACAGACAAGGCGCTTTGTTATTCGGGCACGCGATGCTATGTAGCCGCGAATTCGCTCTTCCTCCGAACCATGACCAATCCCATTTTAAAAATAGACCCTGTATCTACAGATTTATAGAACGGCAGGACCTTGAGAATACGATGCACGAGCGTACTAGTAGCCTTTACTGCATGCCTATCATCGTTATTCTACATTCATTGCTGAAATTCGTAAAACTTACCAAGTTTGGCCCACGAAAGCAATGTGCGTGCAATTTTATGCTTTTTTCCAATTTTAGTGCTTTGTTACGTTGTGAGATCGATCGTGCGATAATATCCTTTGCATTCTATTTCTAGACTACAAATGCTTCAAATGCAAAGACAATTTAGTGCGCAAATATTTTACAAAAATTTAAGAAAACATATTCGTTAGTATTATTTTATATGGAAGATAACGCTGCAATTACAATTTCACAATTTATAGATTAAAATGTTCTTTCTCATATGATTTGTCTTTTAAATATCTACAACTACTAATAATTATGAAATATATATAGAGGCTGAACATTTCATAACACATAAGGATTTATTTATTATACATTATATTTATACATTTAATAATATTATTATTATTATAGATATATACAAAGCAATATTTATACATTTAATAATGTTGAAGTTTAAAATTTGGAGTAGAAGTTTTTTACAAATAAATTAATATAATTCATATTAATTATAAATTGTAAAATTATAATTGATAGGTTACTTTTTCACATAAAGGTATTGTGTGCGTACATATTTACGTATAAATGTCCAAAATTCAATAATTAAATGCTATAAGTAATTTATAATGGAGAAAATTTCAGGTAGTTCTTAAAACAACTATTGGAAAAAGCGGTTATAGGAAAATAACTGTTTGAAATGTTATCTTACCGAAACATTGCATTATCGCAAGCAAAGATAAACCAATCTGATACTGCCTGAAAATTTTTATTTT